AGCACGTGAAATTTGATTTCAATACTTGCAGCACTTTCTAAAACATTACGTAAAAACTGACATATGCAATTTACCATGCCTTGCTTTCTTAAGCCATTATAAGTACGTAATAAACAAATGTGAAGTGAATAGAGACACCCTTGAAGTGGTGCTTGTTTTAATGTTGGTGAGAATCAGCCGCAGCGGAGAGGACAGCCTCGGAAGCAAAGGCAACGAAGCTTTTATAAAAGGAATGCTGATACTACACGGCACAAAAAGTAAATAGTAAAACGGTAAGTCGCTCCACGTAACTATTCGCGTACTTATTTGCAGAACTAACTATAGGGCTTATTAACAGTACCGATTATAAAATATCAGACACAGCGCCCGCCACGGCGCAGAAAACAAAATACGTATTCGTAGCGCCTCAAGACTGATCGCATTATTCACATGTAGTACAATCTGCCGACGCAAAACACACTCTGTGATGCATTACCAACGTTTGACAAAGTATCAGACGAGGAGCACTAACAAGCTATATATGCAGCGCGCAAGATTGAAGACAAATTTGTCGGGAGTCATATTGGCGCTTCGTAACTTGCGTTCTCGAATTAATTTCGCCACAAGCGGTCTTTACTATAGCGCTTTGTCTTCGGGAGGTATATGCAATGGCAATTGTTCTATGCCAGGGTGCTCCACGTACAATGAATGCAGCAGTAAAAACAAAACAAAAAAAGTCTGACACAGAAGAAGCTTGCGTGCGCAGATGTTCGATCAGTAATCTCTGGCGATTCTGACGCAATAATGTATTAGTGACGCTTTCAATGTCTCAATTTCTGGCTGTACATTAGTGACAGAGACAACAGAAGAGAAAAAATAATACAGCCAGACGCACAGGCAGCTACGATCGGCAAGAACGACTTGGGCCACGTAGTGCAAATAACGCCTGACAAAAAGAAACTCACATAGATTTGTTTCCAGTAAAACAAAACAAACAAAACAAAAAAAAACGTAACACAACATATGCATTGCGCACGTATGGCGAAACACGGCAGGATTCTGACACATTTTTGAAATAAATCGAACGAAGACATACCGACCCAAGATTCGTTAAAGTTTCTTATTCCCAAAACTTCTAAAGATTTCCTTGGCTAATCCGATTTGGCGACCTGTTTGCATAGTGCGCATCCTTAGTGTCTGCATTGTGTACCCAGTTCCACGAAATCAGCTTTCGCAAAAGTCCGATAATGCACTTTGAGTATTGCTTATTGTCATCTAGTACTGGGGTTCGCCCCGAATGCCTATGGAACGATTAAATAACACGCGGAGACTCTCGGCTCGCTTCACTGCACCCCCCTCACACCCTAAGCTCTGAGCTCAGCTTTCCGAGATAACTCGGCGCAACAGTCTAGCAGCGTGGATAATGCAAGGCATCACGTAATGCGTTTAAGTTGATGGGATCGACATGGTATATCAATTGTTAGGATTTAACGTCCCAAAATTACGATATGATTAGAGATGCCATAGCGGAGGGCTCCGGAAAATTTAGCGACACGAGGTGGTTTTAACCTGCACCTAAATCTAACTTGGCGATTCGCCCCTGTCGAAATGCAGCCACCGCGGCCGGTTTTTGATACCACCGCCTCCTGGTCAGCAAACGAGCACCATGACTACCAGACCACTCTAGCGGCTTAGCCATAGTATATCAACTGGTAGCAAGCGCGAGTCGCATATTTGTTCAGACGCGGGGAAACACCAAGATCCCACATTGTATACGCGTGAATGCGGTAGTCCCGCGAAAAGTCAAGCCGCCTGCTTTTAGACGCAGGCGGCGCAACCATTTCGGCGTCTGGCGCCTCCGTTACGCCATAGCCGAAATCGTAGAAACTGCGCCAGTGCTCTGCGTAGCACCTTTTTATGTTTGGTTGATAGATTCTTGAAGGAGCAGAACTATACAGCGTTAGGAATTTATAAACGATGCATCCGCGCCTCGTCCAAGACGGCGCAATAACCTCAAGGCCGCACAGCCAAGTCACTAATCTAAATAGGGCGCCTAGTCAGCCAAATGTTTTTGCGCAAATTCGGAGCTCGCCCGTGATTCCCCGAAGTGCAGTGTTGGGATTTTCCAAAAATAACGGCGACTGAGGGTTTTATATATTGTTGCCGCCCAATAGTGGTTTTACAGCGACAGATGTTGTCCGCGCCCCTACCACCTCCGGTGTTTGTTACAACTAACGCACGAAAGAAAACAAACAACAAAAAGAATAATAAATGACCAGGATGGAACGGGGTTCGATCCGGAATCCGCTCCCTGCCAGCCCAATATTCTGCCACAGAGTGTCATGCCAGTGCTTCGCTTTCTCTCTTACATGGTAATTCTTGAAAATGAGATTGACGTATATATATATATATATATATATATATATATATATATATATATATATATATATATATTACGAACTGAGAAATTATCTTGAAATGAAGACGACGAAGGCTTGTGTGTGTACACGCACACACACAATACAGTCTCCGCCAGTACTTACTTCGGACCAGGCAGTGTGTAACAGTCGGTGATTTTTTTTTCCGCGTCATTTGTGAACTCCTGATTCATTTAGTATATAATCTGCCATCGATGGGAGGGGGTGTGGTCTGTGATGAAACCTCTACCTGCCTAAAAATAATTCTGTGCACGCCTTCTCGAAGCGGGACGTTTGGTCGTGATTGAAAGCCGTACAATATGTCGCAATTTATAGTCAAGTTAAAAACACACAAAATGGGGTAACTATTGCACGCTATAGGTCCCAAGCAGCAAGCTGTCTTTTTGTTGAGGAGAAACAATTATCAGAACAGTGTTAGCTGTTAGAACACGCCCGGTGGACATTATCAAACACGCTCGATTGCCGAGGTTTTATCAGCTGCAGATGAAGTGCTAGACGGCTCAGTTAAGACCAGTCCATAGATTACTGTTAACACGAGATACCACGACGAACCCAGCCCAGTAAGTGGGCGCTTTCACATTAATATGCCAGCATAAAAAAAAGGGGCTTCACCCGGTATCACTAATTTAAACAGTGATAACTACGCGATACTTTAGATGGCAATCAAAGCAGCACAGCGAGAAAGTGTAGTGAGCAGCATGAAAAACTCACAGTGTGAATACCTTCTCAATTTGTACTTCACGCGCCTGATTGAGCAAACATCCGGCAAAGCGGGATGACCATTTAGCGTACAGTTAACTGCAAGAGTACATGCTACGGCAAAAGGGCGAGTTGGGCCAGTTTGCTTGTGTCCCACATTGAAAGGGCGCATATAGCTACGCCCGCATACATGAACTGAGTGGTTAGGCCTGAAGGGGGGCGTCACCGTAGTGTACCAAGAGTCTGTAAGCGTTTCTGCGTACACAAAGACTGACACGAAGGAAGAAAACACAAGAGATAGCACTATTTTCTTCCTTGTTCACCATCTATAGTTCACGTTAATGTTTCAGGAATGCCCCACCAAGCCATTTTCGCCTACTTCAAAAAAAAGTATAGGCACGCGAATTATACGTATCTGGGGTCTGGAACGCGAGGCCCACATATGACAGTCTTAATGTAATATTAATTTGTTTATTCTCCGTAGTATATGCTCATGAACGCAGGCGTGCCTGGTCTCAGACGACCTTTTCGTGAGGCATCCGATCTGGTGAAGGATCGGTGAATTGTTTCGAAACAGAAACCACTTCACAATTTGTAGCTTGTTGATTGACTAGTTGATATGTGGGGTTTAACGTCCCAAAGCCACCATATGATTAGAGAAACGCCGTAGTGGAGGGCTCCGGAAATTTCGACCACCTGGGGTTCTTTAACGTGCACCCAAATCTGAGCACACGGGCCTACAACATTTCCGCCTCCATCGGAAATGCAGCCGCCGCAGCCGGGATTCGATCCCGCGACCTGCGGGTCAGCAGCCGAGTACCGTAGCCACTAGACCACCCCGGCGGGGCATAATTTGTAGCTTGTGATGGACGCCGTATAGTTCAGCAAATTTCAAGCATCTGGCGTTCTTTAACGTGGGCTCTCATCGCAAAGTACGTACACAGGCCTCTACCACTTCGCCTCCCCCGAAAGGCAGCCGCGGTCGAACCCACAACCTTCGAGTCAGCAGACTATATACTCCGTTTCATACACCAGGTGCAACGCTGTGAAGGCTCGGCAAGTAGTCCGTAAAGAAAACACGAGGTGTTGCTCCGCGCGGTTTCGTAGCCGAGTGGTCTGACGCGTCGCTCTGACGCGTCGCGTACACATTTGCAATTACTTGCTTGGCGTGCTTTGACAGCTTTGATGTGCGAAGCTTCGAAAAAATTTGCGCAGGAGCGGTGGTCGAGAACACAGAGCTGGACGCCATTTTTTCGAAGCTGCCACAACAAGTAAAAAAAACGGCGGCGCGGGTCGCGCGGAGAGCGAAAACCTGATACGAAAGCGACAAACATAAATTACCAACTCGCATATTTGGATTGTTTATCCGACAACACAGGCGTTTGTTTTTAACCTGATGACAAATATGTATGCTTAGAAGTTTCCCGAGAAGCATTTATTGATTCTCGTACACCCCAAGCGACGCACTACTTTTTGGTCGCGGCAGTACACAGCCCAAACAAGAGCGCTAGCTTTGACAGCGTTGCACATGATGTATGAAACGGAGTATAGCTACTGAACGACCGAGGAGAATAGAAACTTTCGGAATCGGCGTCTAGGTTTGAGACAATCTGGAAATATCTGCGCGTTTTTCGAAGCATGTCGCTCGACCCACTGCATTACCGAGGCACAAATAAAAAAAGACCTTTGAAAATGACAGCTGTTGCTGACATTTTAGACAAGCTGCCCCCAAAACACACACACTTGCTGCTATCATTTTGCAACATCCTGGAGCATCACAAAACCAATCTCCTTCAGTGACGCAAGCTAGCTGAGGTGACTTTGAGACTTCCCCATAAACAACGCCCTTACTAGAGGCGTGGTGTGCATTCCAGTTCAACTCACGCGTTGGTTGTCATAGTAGCCTCGACGGGGGATGCTAGGCAGCCGCTAGTTGACATGGTGGCGCTGGCACTTCTCGTATACACGACAAAGACTCGGGATCAGTCCACGCTAGTGTCCAAACCAACCTAACGCGACTGTTGCAACGAGATACGGGCAGACGAGACCTGGTGCCGTATGCGTGTAGAAGAACCAGTGCGGAATGCAAGTACACGAACAGCTGGCAAGCTTTCGAGGAACCAATCGGGTCCATGCAAAACCTTGCGTCACGTGACGTAACGTGCTGAAGCGAATACCACCCTTTGAACGTGGTCGCATGATGACGTGTTGGCACGCCCACCGCAGCAAGCGAACACTGCGTATTGCACGTGCCGCACACATGGAGGCGGGTGACGGCTGTGTGTGATCCCGTGCATAGTCTAACCCCCCTCATACTCCGAACACACATACACGCAGAATCGCCGAGCTTGGTGCGATAGATAGCTTATCACTATAGCGAAGGTGTGTCTGCGATAAGAGAAAAACGCGCCTCGCTGATTAGAGAAGCAAAAGCGAAAGCTACCATAGTGTCGGCGAATATACGCATCTTGGCGAAAGGTGCTTTATGAGGCAGATCTGGCTATCGGCGAGGAAGTGCGCGAGCTACTGCCACACCCACCGATCATCATCGTCTTCTTCAGTAACAGCGGAGCGTCCGTCAATCAGATTCATTACTATATATATATATATATATATATATATATATATATATATATATATATATATATATATATATATATATATATATATATATATATATATATATATATATATATATATATATATATATATATATATATATATAAACTCACTATGGTGGTCTATTCACTGTTGGCCCGAAGTTCACGCGATGGCATTCCGGCCGCATTTTTCGGTGGAGGCGAAAATGCTTGGCGCCCGTGAACCTAAATTTAGCTGCACGTCAAAGAACCCCAGGTGGTCGAAATTCCCGGAGCCCTCCACTGAGGGGCCTCTCGTATAGTCGTGCGGTGGTTTTCAGCCGTGAAACAACATATATTACTACATTAACACTTAACGCGAACCAGAGCCGTCGAACCGTGTTCCAGGAAAGGCTTTTCTTGAATACTTTTGAAACCGGAAGTAACTGCTCGACTGGACACGATCGGCAGATAAGCAAAAGCTCTGCAGTGGGCGTGTCATTTACAGAAATGTGGAAAGATTAAGCGGAAGGACAGGAAGCTTATCCAGTTCTCAAGACTGGCTGGCTACCCTTTGCTGAGGAAAGGGGTGAGGGGAATAAAAGATGATAGAAGAGAAATGTTGCAAAGAGTGAGAGAGAGAAAATACAAAAGTAGCGATAGAGTAAAAACAAAATAAATAAGAATATGATATTAAAGTCTGTCTTTGAGGCCAGTTGTCTGCAAAAAGCGTAACAAAGCTTTCAAAGCATTCTGGGCTGAGGATGGACTGGACCAATGACCCAGAATCCTTTGTTCCGACAAAGGCCGATAATCTAGTCTATCCAGAGCTTCAGTAGAGAAATGAAGCTACGCGAAGCAACTACAAGAGCATAGCACCACGTACCTCTTTGTGCGTGTTGTAGCAGTGTAAGAGTGCTTCAGATACAGCGTCACAGTGTTGTCGTTGTCAACTGCCACAACGACGACGCATGCGCACAGTTGACCGGTTGGCGACGGATCGACTCTCGAAAAGGCCGCCGTCGGTTGGCGCGAGTGACTTCGTCGCAACTTGCAAGTGCACTGGCTGCCCTCTTAGATACTCTAATCGGATAAAACTTCAGACGGCCGCGGCATCTCCTTCTCAAAGGCGGAGACACACAAGCTCGCACCAATGGGCGTGCACTCCGTAATGACGTAACGAGCCGGACTGCCGACGTCTCCGTCATCGGAGAACGCCGACGACTGCACGGGCGGGACTATTTCTTTAGTCGCAGAGGTGATCGTTTGCAGCGCGACGTTCATCCGCGCGAGACCATTCCTGATTTCATGAGTTCTGTGCGAATTTAATTGGTTTTAATTGATCTCCGTCTAATAAGCCTGTAATGAATGGTAAAATAAGTAATCGATAAGAGGACGAAGTTTAAGCGATGACTTTGGTGTAATTGTTACAATGTATTCACTTCCACGCCGGTAAGGCAAACTAGACGACAGGGCGGCCAAATAATGTGTCGAATTAGGTCCCGCATTTGAAAAATTGCCTTCATATGTACCGGAGCGCCCCACCACTGCTGTGATTGAATAGAACAGCGCTCCCCCAGTGCGCGCCAGTAAGATTTGTCGACGTAGCCACGAACTAAATAAAGCACATAACGAAATGGCATTGTGTATTGATAGAAGCTAAACTCAACGGGTCCCGTCTGCTATCTGCATGTCGACATACCCTTAACAGCGCAAGCGTCAAAATAAGCCATACATCACTAGTTATACGTCAACACGTCGACGCTTTTGTTCTGACCTCGCCGCTTGATGTGGCTACGCAGCGGCTAATTTTTACCATTGGTTTCCTCGCTGTCAAGCGCACGTTTTTGCAAATTGATGCGCACTTCAAGAAACACAGGATAATACTACGATTGACGTGCGATGATCGCACTCGTGAACATTTGACACACACATACAATAAAGAAGACGAGCTGTTACTTCACGTAGCTCTGTATAATGTCAAGGGGCGCGTATGAGTCAATCGCGAGCGTCTGCCACAAACGCGCAGGTGAAAATTTTCTTTTGAAGTACGCGAAGTCAAGAGATGATGAACGCAAAAGACGCACGCGCACACCTTTTCGTCGACCAACCCATGTTTTTTATAGCACGCTCCCCAATACGCCCGCGGTGCGCGCATTCAGAAGCATTTTTAGTGGGTGAACTTTGTTCGGCCTTCCTTTTCTTTGACGGGCACTTGAGGTCCCGAGGGGGCGGCGCTTGCAAGAAAGAAGGCAGATCACGTACAGGAGAGAGGAGTGTTCCTGATGCAGGGGGAAAGAGTCGGGAAGTCTGTACATACCAACACCTACCTACCTACCTACCTACCTACCTACCTACCTACCTACCTACCTACCTACCTACCTACCTACCTACCTACCTACCTACCCACCTACCCACCCACCTACCTACCCACCTATCTATCTATCTAATCTATCTATCTATCTATCTATCTATCTATCTATCTATCTATCTATCTATCTATCTATCTATCTATCTATCTATCTATCTATCTACCTATCTATCTATCTTCTATCTATCTATCTATCTATCTATCTATCTATCTATCTATCTATCTATCTATCTATCTATCTATCTATCTATCTATCTAGTCTGTTTGCATAGATAGATAGATACATAAAAGATAGATAGATAGATAGATAGATAGATAGATAGATAGATAGATAGATAGATAGTATCTGATTTGTGATAGAGTTCTGTGTGTAGAGATTGTACTCGCTTATAAACCACAAGATGCCTTGTCTCTAACGGATCCTTAACTAGACATATCGGCTACGGATCTCGATACTTTCACAAAACATTTTTCAGAAATTATTTCATTGAAAATAAGGCATTCTTCTTCATTCGTCATCTATCAATGCGCGCTGTGTTGAGAAAATCTGTTTACATGACTGATTTTAAATCAATTCGAAGCGTGGTAAAGAGCTAGGAGATTAACCCACCGCGGCAACCTCATATAAAGCATTTGTAGATAATCTTGGGCTTACTTTTCAGCTGTCATAACAATAAGCACAGAAGCTAGGTGTTCGGTGACGTTTTAGCTGGTGGCGAGCTATCAGTGGCGGCGAGCGTGTGAGAACGACGGGCCGGACGTAATCGCTGAAGTTCCTTTTAACGCGATATCGCTAAAGAGGCTCGTTTCGCCGGAATTCCGGCGTCGGCGCCGTTCGTTGTGAGTGAAAAATGATTATCTTTGCGCAACCTAATAATCGAGAAAGAAACAAATAAGATAAACAATAAAACCTCTGGGTCTCAGTGCGAATCGAACCCGAGTCGTTTGGGTGGAAAGCGATTGTTATACTACACAGCCACGCCTCTGCTTGTGAATACAGTCAAAATTATTTTCTATGCTTGAAAATGCAGCCAAATTAACTTCATGTATTACAAGAACGCGCGTCCTCAATGCATGCTTCACAATACAACGTGAAATATTGCCGTAACAATGCGTGGTACAAGCCTACATTGCCAACGGGCGTCAGAACATGGGATAATCATTGCCAACGGGCGTCAGAACATGGGATAATCATGACGGATATAGTCTAAAACGAGTGACTCACTACAAAAGGCACACACGCTGCTGCATCCTGGCGACGTAGCAGGTGCATAGCCTGTGCTTAAAGTACACTACAAGAATAGAATATCACTCTCGCGTTCAACTCTTAAAGTTGCAGCTTAGGGCCCCCCAATTTTTATCTGTGCTGCAGCCTGCAGCCACCTTGAACTGGCGTGCAAGATGGCTGCTTTACAAGAGCCAATAAAATTTCCGATTTAACGTAACAAACAGGCAGACATGTCACAGACATGTTAGCTTTACCTGTTCAAGCAATTGTACACGGTTCTGCACATTGCAATAATATATTAATTTCGTAGCTTTTTGGCCCTGTAATTACTCTTTGTTTACCCCTTTCAACGACACGAAAGAGAAACGACAGCAGACATGATCACAACGAGAAGATGAATCAAGCGCGTACACGAAGAGAAGGATCAGAAACGGGCGAGGTGTGCGGCACGAGGTAAAAATCACTCGTTGACATTGAATTGTCAACCACATGGGCGACCTATTTTTAAAGAACGCAGACGAGTAAACACTAAGTCACACTGTGCGCCAGTCATGAACCATGCACCGCAAAGATGTCCGGGCCTTCGCAGGGGATATTTTTGGGCAGTCGTGCGTCTAGACAGATCTTTGAAACAGTTCTAATGCCATGCATGGAGGTCGAGCCCTCATTGACGTAAGCGTGTTTGTTTAGTTTCAGAAGTGTCTGAATGATTTCCGGCTCGATATTCGGCTATGTTAGTAAAACTAGAAAAAAAAGGAGAAGAGGAGAGAATAATGCAAAGATTGTAATATACTCTAAGAAGGAAAAAGGAGGAGTATGCGTTACTATTCAGGGGCATGAGAAGAGGAGAAGA